TTGTGGGGCTGGCGCGGGATCGGGCATTGTTTCGTTCTGCTGTGCATGGGGTCACTATGAGTCGTAAACGACTCGACGGCACTTAACAACAACAACAACATGAATTGGTTGTTGTAATTTTGTTATGTGTTTTTTCATGATGTTGCTGATTTCTTTGTTCCATATAGTTTTCTGTGCTGAGCTCATTTTGTTTATGAATCATGTTATCATTTAGTTTGTTGCTGTTGTTTTAATATTTGCTAAGTATATATGTTTGTCCTCTTTTTTGTTTTGGTATGAAGCTTATCATTTTTCTTTGAGGTTACTCTGTTTTCTTCCCAAGTTTAGAACAATCCATTCTGTCTTGCAATTGTGTTGATTTCTCTATCATTTAGAAGGTCTGTAACTACACAGTTTTTCCCCCCTTTTTGATTTGTAATTATCCTCATTTGCCAATTGATGTTTCAGGTTCCCTGTTCACTATCTTGTAGGCTTATTGAGATACTTCCATAACTGGGTTGGTTTCTGGGTTATGTCATCATGTGTGTTAATGGTTGGTTGTTGTTTGCTGTTATAGATAGGTTCTCTATCCAAAGGACTCCCTTTAGTATCTCTTGTAAGGTTGGTCTAGTTTTAACAAATTTCTTTAATTTCTGCTTATCTGGAATTCCTAATTTCACCATCAAATTTGAGGAACAGTTTTGCCAGGTATATAATTCTTGGTTGGAAATTTTTTTTCTTTCAGAATTTTATATATACCATCCCATTGCCTTCTTGTCTGCATGGTTTCTGCCAAGAAATCAGAGCTTATTCATATTGGTTGTCCTTTGTAACTAACTTTCATTTTTTGTGTGTGCTACTTTCAGGATTCTCTTTGTCTTTGGTTTTGGTGAGTTTGATGATGATATATCTTGATGTTTTCCTTTTGAGGTCTTTCCTTCTCGGGGTTCATTGGACTTCTTGAATGGGTATATTCTTCTTTCATCATACCAGGGAAATTCTCTTCCAACAAATCTTCCACAGTTTTCTCTGTGGTTTTATTTGTCTCTTCCTCTTTTGGAATTCCAATTCCAAACCAAACCAAACTCCCTGCTGTCAAATCGTATCTGACTTATAGCAATCCCTTCTTGGGTTTCTGATTACATGTAGGTTACTCCTTTTGATGGTATCCCACATGAAACTTAGACTTTCTTCATGTTTTTATCCTTTTGTCTGATTGATTCTTTTCCAAAAAAGTAGTCAGGTATTTGTCTTCAATCTCATTAATTCTGTCTTACATTGATTCAGTGCTACTCCTTTGGCCTTTCAGTGTGTTATCTATTTCTGAAAATTTAGTATTAATCTTCTGGATTTGTGCCTGTAGATTTTGTATCATTTCTAATTTTTATTTATTTTGTTATTTTGTTCTTATATTGTCTTTTGAAATTGTTCTAGGGTTTTGTCAGTGTTTTCCTTGTCTCTCAATCTGTTGAAAGTACCTAAATATAATTATTGTAAATTCCTTACCAGGAGTTCCAGTGCTGCTTCTTCCTTAGGGATGTGTTCTGGGTCTGTATCCTGGTTCCTTGTTTCTTCTAGTTTATCTTGCTTCTTTGTGTGGACTGTAATGGTCTGTAGTCTCTGAGACAGTGTGGCCTTTTTGCGTTTATTTTTAATTCATGATTATATGTTGAAGTGATTTGCCCAAGATTTTCATTCTCTTTGTTTCATTTGGCTGTATCTGAGTAAGCAGGGTACTGTGCTGCTGTATTTGCTAGTTGGCAGCACTTTATGCACTCACTGTCTGTCTCTTTTCCAGTTGTCAGCCTCTTGTATGTCCATGCTGTCATTGACAAGCGGAGCCTATTCTTAGGTCCCTGGAACCTAAATGCGAATACTGTCACTTTAAATATCCAAAATGCCTGCACCCTCCGAACATCCAAAAAACCATAGCTCAGTTTGTCTCCTTTGTTATTTCCCTTTTCAGTTGTCACCTACCCATGAATAGTCCATTCTCAGGTCCTAACCTGAGATATTCAGGCTGCTCGTGCTGTCAGGACAGCTGACAGTCCACAGCTCCATTTTGTCTCCTTACTCACTGTTTTCATTGAGGTTCTTCTACTAATTGGTGTTTAATCTGCTTCTGTATCCTTCCTTTCAAAGCTCAGGGCTCCAGGATTATCTTCTGTATCTGTGTTAATCAGTTTCTCTTTTCTTTGTTGAAGAGGGTCTGTGTAGCTTGTCTGCGTATTCCATCATCTTATTGGAAGTCATACCTGTGTGTTTTATTGACTGTGCAAAGGCACTCAATTGTGTGGATCATAACAAATTACATAGTTATGATGACATTGAGAAGAAAGGAAATTTCAGAACACTTACCTGTGCTCATGAGGATCTTGTACATAGACCAAGAGGATGTTGTTTGAACAGGACAAGGGGATGCTGTTTGGTTTAAAATCAGGAAAGGTATGTGTCAGAGCTGTATCTTTCACTATATTTAATTAATCTGTATGGTAAGCAAATAATCAGAGAAGATGGACTGTTTGAAGAATAATGTGGCATCAGGAATTAGAGGAAAAACTCTTTAACAGCCTGCAGTATGCCGATGACACAATCTTACTTGCTGAAGATGAAGAGAACTTGAAGCACTTATTGATGATGAAGAGCAAAGACAACAGTCTTCAGTATGGATTGCACCTCAACATGAAACAAAAAGTCTCACAACTTGACCAATAAGCAACATCATGATAAATGGAGAAAACATTGAAGTTGTCACAGATTTCATTTTGCCTGAATTCCCAGTCAATGCCCATGGAAGCAGCAGTCAAGAAATCAGATTACATATTTATTGCATTGACCAGTGTGCTGCCAAAGACCTCTTTAAAGTGGTAAAGAGCAAAGATGTCGCTTTGAAGAGACTAAGGTGTGCCTGACCCAAGCCATGGTATTTTCAGTTGCCTTATATGCATGTGAAAGCTGGACAGTGAAGAGGGACAACCAAAGAATAATTGATGCATTTGAATTATGGTGTTGGCAGAGAATATTGAATAAGCCATGAATTGTCAAGAAAACCAGTATCTTGGAAGAGTTACAACCAGAACACTCCTTAGAAGTAAGGATGGTGAAAGTTCATCTGACTGACTTTGGACATGTTATCAGAAGGAACAAGCCCCTGAAGAAAGACATCATGCTTACTACAGTGGAGGGAGGGAAAAAGAGGAGGACCCTCAATTGAGATGGGTTAACACAATGGCTACATTGATGGGCTCAAGCGTAGCAAGGATTTTGAGGATGGCACAGGACTGGGCAGTGTTTCATTCTTTTGTACATAGGGTTGTTATGGATTGGACCCAACTCAGCAGCACCTAACAACAATAACAACAACAACATGAGATATGTACTGTTATCCCGATTTTACAGTTGAGGAAACTGAAGCACTGGAATTAATGCACTCTGCTGGTAGTGTTCTGATTAATGAATGAATTTCCTTTAAAACATTCATGCCTTCTCTGTTTTGAAGTAGAGTTGTTGATAACTTGGATTGAACTGTATAATTAGACAACACTTTCATATATGAGAATTTACCAGCTGCTCTGCACAATAAACATACATGAACATGGTATGGACACTTGACCCTGCTGTTCCTTCCATTGGTCTAATTATCTGAACACCTCTCATAGTACGTGTAATTTGCCATGTTAAGTATAACTTTAGTGCCTAAAGAAAGATACACAAAAATTATGTAACATGGCCTCTAAGCAATCACTACCAACATTGGAGGAACAACTGGCTGTGTCAATCTTTCTACTAATACCTGTGTCTGTCTTTAACATGGAGCTTTTTGGAAGGTAGTTTTGACAATATATTACTTTAATTTTTCTTCTAAATTTAATTTTTTTTCCTAAATTCACTGATTTTAAAATTTGCATTCTTCACAAATACGTCTGTATTGTCATAATTTTCTTACATGGTTTCTCTTTTGATTTCTTTGGGAGAAGGTAAGTTTTATCACAGAATATAGTTATTATTAGACCATAACTGTTAGTTGAATTTTAAAATGCTTTGGGTGGTTGGTATTCCAGGTATTGAGAGTACAAGGGTTGCTATTCTGGTATGGTATTTTGCAAACCCTGCCTAGACTCCTGCCATTAATTTAAGGAGTGGGAACTACCAAAGGTAACAGTGGTAAAGATATTAGCTGGAAACTACTCTCCTGTCAGCACTGATTAGAAACCTGGATGTAGCAGCCCAAAAGTCTCCTACTGCAGTAGATCATGATGAAATTCTGACAGTTAATTAAGCAGTTGCATAATCCCATGAGCAGTAACAGACTTAACTAGGTTTTATTCTTTTCAACATAGAAATTGTGAGATACCTATAAGAATACAGAGAATGGTAAAATGAATCCCCATGGCCTCATCAGCTACATGTAGTAGATTCTTGTTTCTATATCCCCGGTCTTGCCCCTCCCTCCCATTTTGAAATAAATCTCCGTCTTATTTCATCCATAAAGAGATCATATTCCATTTTTAGATAGGTATTATAAAGGAGCTCTGGTGGTGTAGTGCGTAAGGCATTTGACTGCTGGCCAGAAGGTTGGTGGTTCAAACCCTCCAGCCACTTCATGGAAGGAAGACTGGGCAATCTACTTCTGTAAAGATTTACCACCTTAGAAACCCAAAGGGGGTCACTATGAGTCAGAATCAACTTGACAGCAGTGAGTTTGGTTTGGTATAGGTATTGTAGTGAAATACTAGTGATAATTCATTTCTTAGATGTCTTGTGTGCCAGGGTTGAAAAGACAATTTCCTACCAAGCTAAATGAAGCCTTTTTGTTATAACATCACACTTTGGTTATTGGACAAGGAGGAAGAAGAGCTCAATGGGCTTAATTTTATTAAACAAAATGATAACACGTTTTAGCATGTGTGGAAGGATCCTTACAATCATTTGTGCCAGACATAGCCCAATTTAAAGCCACCTCTTGTTTGTTTTAGCTAGTCAATGGATTTTTTTTTTTCCTTCCAATTTTTAACTTACAGGAATCCTATGAGGATGGTTGTGAAGATTACCCCACTTTATCAGAATATGTTCAGGACTTTTTGAATCATCTTACAGAGCAACCTGGCAGTTTTGAAACTGAAATTGAACAGTTTGCAGAGACCCTTAATGGCTGGGTTACAACAGATGATGCTTTGCAAGACCTTGTGGAACTCATCTATCAACAGGTAGGTTGGCCGATAGCACATGTCCATCTTCAGGTAGCTTCCTTGAAGCCCAAGAATGGTGGCGGCTACTTGAAGGAGACAGGTCTGTATTCATCTTCCTCCATACTTGTAAACTGTTCAAGGTTCGTGGGAGCTTTGAAGTCTCTATGAATTTCATATACTTAAAGGACCCAGGGCTAAAGCCATGTTTGACTGCAAATTCACCTATGTAGTGGAGGCTTTGAAAAGGCAATTGGGAGGTGCTTTGGACATTTATGAGAAGGCTGCATAAACAACACACCTTTGGGGGGGGGTTCAGTTTTATAGGATCTGAAGTAACAATATATAAAAAAGAGTAATTTTTTTCTCCTAGGTATTGAGTTAGGTACCGTTATTGGAGTAGAAAAGAAAAGAGTCGTGAGAGAACTTTCTTGCCTCTTTTTGAGTGTTTTTTAAAAGCCAGCCCATAAAACACCATGTTCAGTGTTAGCGTTTCTGTGTCTTTACGTCCCGGGTGATGCAGACAGTGCGCTTTGCTGTTTGCTGAGAGATTAAAGGTTTGAGTCCACCCAGAGGTGCCTCAGCAAAGAGGCCTGATGATGGACTTGTGGAACATCAGCCACTGAGAGCCCTGTGCAGACAGACACACTGGAGGTCGCCATGGGTTGGAATCAACTCCATGACTACAGTTTTTGTTTTTAATTGTCTTAAAAAATTTTTAAGCATTTACATCTTAATTCCTTGAGAGCCTTAATGTCAATCCAGATTGTGTTTCTTAACAGTTAAAATTTGAGTTTTGATGCCAGCATATTGGTCATTGATAGATTAATGCTATTGTAAGAGGGAGAAATGTGGTAGACAACACTGGATTTTGAAAACAATCTTTAAAAATGTGAATGGCATGTAAGACTGGCCAGAAACAGTAGAAGATGAGCAGAAATATAAACAGGAGTGTTCCTTAAGTCATGGCAAAAACAGTATCAGATTTGGAATATAAGGAAGGGTGCTTATGATAACAAATTGATGATACTATCTTAGTTTGGGTGTTTTTGTTTTTTTTAGTGTTTCTTTTGGCTGCTTTTTTCCAAGTTGATTTGAACTGTTATTGGACCCTAAAATTCTCTAGTGAGCTCTCAGGTTTCACGAGTTGCCTGAGATTTCACAGAGATAGGACTGCTCTGTTTTTCCTGATTCCTACTTTCTGTATCTAAATGGATTGAAAAGCAATATGAGATTTTAAAAAATGGAAGAATTATGCTCATTTTTTGTTGCTTTTCTCATTTCTCCTCTATTTTGTCGTAGCTCTTAAATAGAGCTATGTGGTTATAGTTCTTCAGAGCTAGACAAGAGTGTCACCTGACAAGTTACAACTATTGCTGCAATTTTCCTCAGATTTAGTTCTTAAATATGTAGTCAGTAGTATTTAAAGTTTTAGCATTCTGTGGTCTATGATACACAAGTATGATAGCTTCATAGCAGTCCTTGAACAGCCAGCCTTGACTGAAATAGACAGAGGCGCCAAGAAAGTTGTCTCTAGTGAGATGAACACACTACTTTGTTTGAAGGTGATGAGAAAAAATACATAAGCTAGTGAGCTTAGGACTGTACCACTGAGAAGTATATAAAAACAAAGTAGAAAAAAATGAATAATTCTGGGGAAACAGTTATACAAAAAAGGAAAAATTAGTATATGGTTCAGCTATAAATAGAAACACAAAACTAATAAATCATGGTATAGCCATATTGGTTGGTGGAAGGAGTGGGCAGTATGTGAAGTAGAATAGGGTAAAACATACGAAAATCAATAAGAAATAATATCTAAACTGAGAAATCGTGTAGCATGGAGTTACAGAGGTTGAAAACCGTTTTTAGTGGAAGAATTAGAAATGGTTCCTTTTAAGATTAAAATTGGAAGTAGAAAAGTGTTTAATATCAACCCTTGGCATAGTGCCTAAGGCACTTGACTGCTAACCAGAAGGCTGGCAGTTCAAACCCACCAGCCACTCCTCGGAAGGAAGGTTGGGCATTCCTACTTCCGTAGTGATACTGCCTCGGAAACCCAAGGAGGGGTCGCTGTGAGTCGGAGCCGACTCGATGGCAAATAACAACAACAACAACAATAGAACTTGGTAAGTCTTTAACCGTGTGTGTGGTAATTTTTTAAGTAAACTAAAGGAAACCAGGCAGTGCCAGTAAGTTTTTTTTTATGGTTCCTGCTAAGTATACATGATCTCAGAAGAATTCTTTTTCCTTTGATGAGAAACTTAGAGTCCATTGTAAGCTAGGAAATAATTAGAATTAAAAATATAAAGTACTTACTACATACCAGGCACTGCTAAGTACTTGACATGTAGTTAACTCATTTAATCTTCAGTGGTTGTGTGATATTATTGTCCCCATTTTATACATGATGAAAAGGCACAGAGAGGGTCCAACTTGCTTAAGGTTACCAGCGCTATTAAATGGAACCACATTTAATGGGGAGGAGAGGCACAAGACCATCTAGGCTCCGGTTAACTACTTTTTTGACTTTGGGAAAGCCTCCTAACCTCTTTAAATGCATTAACTTACCTAAATAACTATATACTATTACTATTTTTCTTTAACTGTGATTAAAGCTAAACTTTCTGAGTGCTGCTTTGGCCACATCACAGAGTCTTTGATATGTATTTTTTTCTCACTGTCCTATTTTTTAAAGTAACTTCTCTGTTTGGATATCTTCTTTACCCCAGGTGTTTTTGGATTGTTCTTTAAATGTTAGTCACTTAGGCCAGGTACCATTAATCACATCTTCTCAGGGAAGTATAGTGAAGTCCAAGCTCACAAAAGCAAGAGCCCTGGGAATTTTGTTCTAGACCAGTAGGCATCAAAGTCTGTTCTGTTCTGCCCATGAGAAATATCCGTTGTTTGACAAAATTATTCTCATTCTTAATTGTCAGCTATGCAAGTGGGTACATGTACATATTTTGTGCAAAAATGGCTTAGCACAAAGAGGCATCATCTGTTTGCTTTCTGATACCTAGGTAAATGTGGAAGAACTTGCTTTTCACATTTTGCTTTATGTTCATGGTTCTTGGTGTAAAGTTGGAAGGGAGGTTAAAGTTAATTTCCTTACGTTTAACAATTAGACCTTTTCTGTACAATATGGTCACTTACAGAAGCAGAAAAGTTTTTACTCTTAAAAATGTTACTGTTAAGTATTTGCAGTAATTATTTGATGTATCTGTGTCATACAAAACTGTTTTCTTTTTGAAAGGCCACGTCTATCCCAAACTTCTCTTACATGGGAGCTCGCCTGTGTAACTACCTGTCTCATCATCTGACAATTAATCCACAGAGTGGCAATTTCCGCCAGTTGCTACTTCAAAGGTCAGTGTGACTATATGAAAGAAATTACTTTTAAACGTACTGGAATTTGACTATTCCTTTTTTTTCTAATGATGGTGTGTTATAGATAGTTGTAGGGGGGAATAGAGTAGACGATTCTTATTTGTATAGTATTAAATGTTTCTAGCCAGATATGTCAGTGTTTCTTCTGTAGTGGTGTCTGCCTTTGGTTTTGTGCTTAGAAAGGTCTTTCCTTTCCCAAGATTTAAAAAATGACCACTTAATATATTTTCTAGTACTTTTGTAGTTTTAGTTTGAGTAAGGATATACTTTTGTTGCCACACAAAAAACACTTTTTTCCTATTACTCCCCCCCCCTTTTTTTTATAATACATTCTTTCCCTGTGGATTTTGAATTGCTGCCTTTCTCATACTGCATCCTTTATCAATTTGAGTTTGATTCTAGACTTTCATTATATTCCATTGATCACCAATCCTATTTTCAGTTTTATTACTATAGTATTAAATATTTTAACTCTAATTGTTTCATATTTATTCCGGTTAGTTCCTTGATTTTAAAGACTCATTACTATTCTTGCATGCTGCATTTGTTCCAGTGAACTTTAGAATCAGCTTATACAATTACACAAATAATCTTGCTGCTAGCAATTTGTGGATACTTTGTGGGATAATATTGAATTCATAAGCTAATTTAGAGAAAACTGATGTTTACATTTTGAGTTATCTTACTTAGTAGCAAGGTTATTTTCAACTTTATTATAATTTGCCCATTAGTTCTTTAAAGACACTTAATGGTTGGAAAGTATTCCTTCCTGTGGTTAAAATGCACTGGAACAGAATAAGGCCTCTAAATGTAGACCCAGAGACATCTGAAAATTAAGCTGTTGATGTAGATGGGTACATATTTAAAAGATAAATTCTGCTGGTTGGCACAACTGACTAGCTCCTTGGGGGGAAAAAACAAAGATGGATTCCTTTGTTCTTATATGAAAATTCCAAATATTTCAAAGACTTAAGTAAATGTGAAAGGGTAAATTCTAGGGGGCGGGGGGAATTGACAAAATCTTGGGTTGGTAAAGGCTTTTTTAAGCAAGACATGATAACCTGAGGCCTTAAAACATTAGATGAATAAACTTAATTACATGTGTTGTTGTGTGCCATGGAACTGATTCTGACTTACAGCGACCCTATAGATGATAATACTTTAAACCATTGCCATCAATTTTGATTCATAACAACCCTGTAGGACAGAATAGAACTGCCCCATAGAGTTTCCAAGGCTGTAAATCTTTACAGAAGCAGACTGCCATGTTTCTCCTGCAGAGCAGCTGGTGGGTTTGAACCACCAACCTTTTGATTAGCAGCCAAGGCCATAACCGTTGCACAACCAGGGCTCATTATTTTAGGGAGGCATAAGTTTATTTAAAATAAAAGTAGAGAAATTTATAACACATGATAATGAGCTGATTGATTTAATACAAAAAGAAAGACCTATTAAGAATGACTAAGAAAAAGACTTAGTATCTCAATAGAAATATTTTGAATACTTCTGAATAGGTACCATTCTGAAAAATAAGTTACAAGCTTATCAAAAGATACTTAACCTCACCCATAATTAAAGAAATGCAATTACAGTTTCGGGAAAGAGGCCAAAATGAGTACTTCTAGGAGGTAGGTTGGCAGAAAGGCTGGGTTACCATATTCTCCAGTGCTGCTGGCTGTGCCTTAGAGCCACTTAGACACTTACAAATGGCTCAGATCCTGCCCTCACCTTTGGGATTTTCATGTAATTGGACTGAGGTAGAGCCTGGGCATGGCTTTGTAAAGTTCCCCCAAGTTATTTTCCCTAAATGCAACCATGGTTGAGAAACCCCCCTTCTAATTCCCTTTGACACTTCACCCGCTCGCTTCATGTGCTTCTGTAGTACTGGCACTCTGTCAAAGATAGTAACATGGGGAAATGTCAGTAATATAACAGGCGAGACCAGAAACCCATTGCTATCAAGTTGGTTCTGACTCATAGTGACCATACTGTAGGACAGAGTTGTGTTTCCAAGGCTGTAATCATTACAGAAGGAGCTCTGATGGTGTAGTAGGTAAGGCATTTGGCTGCTTACCAAAAGGTGGGTGGTTTGAACCCACCAGTTGCTCTGTAGAAGAAAGATGAGGCAGTCTGCATCCATAAAGATTTACAGCCTTGAGTGTTTGCACAGGGAGACAGCTGGGCAGGGAGGGGAGTACATGAGAGAGAAGGACACAGGGAAAAGGTAACTATGGGCAGGAAGTGGGAAGAGAGCTGTTACATTGTAGGGAATTACAGTCAGTGTCATGAGACAGTGTATGAAAATGAATTTGCTCTGTAAACTTTGACCCAAATCACAATAAAAATTTGAAAAGAAAAAAAGATTTACAGCCTTGGAAACCAGTGGGCATTGCTATGAGATGGAATCAACTCGATGGCAGTTAGTTTGGTTTGGTTTAGAATCTTTATGGAAGCAGACTGCCACATCGTTCTCCTGCAGACCAGATAGTGGATTCGAACTCACTGATCTTTTGGTTAACAGCCAAGTGCTTAACCATTGCACTACCAAGGTTCTTTAACAAGTGAAAAGCAGGCCATAATTCTAGCACCTCTTTTAAATATATATGTGCGTAATTTTAAAAAAGGAAGTTGCCTGACAGCCCTTATGTCTGGGTTCATTGGTATTTCAGGTAACTTTTTTCTTTATTTTTCTATTTTAGCCTTTCAGAAATAAACACTTAACTACTTTTATAATTGAAAATCTTAAAGTTTAGGGGTTTTCCTTTTTACCTAGGTAATCAGCCATGTATAGGGGTAGGAATTTAGTTTTACAGATAAGTTAGCATATCTTAATGTACAGTCTAATAGCCATACCGTTCATAAAACAAAAAGGAGGTCATTTAATCAGAGCACTTACTGTGCAAAGCTGTAAAAAAAAAAGAGCAGAGAAAGGACAGTAGCCAACAAGGTGCTTGGATAACTGTGTTGGCATTAATTAACAGAGCCTTTCCATTATTAACTAGGGTGTTCTGTTTATAAATATCCAAACTTTTTTCTGATGGAGTTAATTTAATATGTATGAGGAAGTAACAGATATCTTACTGTGTCTGACTTGAAAAGAAGAGGTTACTTATTTGATAAAACTTATCAAGTATTAGAATTAGCCACAAAGGCACACTAAGCTATGCTGGGATTATGGTTGGTTCACAAAACTGACCCAATGTAAAATTTGGAGTAAGATGTGATGATTTCTTTTTCTTTTTCTTTTTCTTTTTTAAGTTTTTGCAGAACCAACCTAAACTAAGTCCTTCATTTATGGAAGTTGTTTAGTCTCCAAAATCTCCTTCCTTTGTCTTTAAAAAAGAAACTATCAAAATCTGAAATGACTTTCCCACAGTTTTCTACAAACTCTTCAAAAAGGATGAGAAAAAACACTTGCACCAAAATGCTAAATTTCTAGAGTCCATTAAAAAAATTCATTTTAGTAACAGTAGCTGACACTATGATTCACTGACACAGGCAGTAATGAGTTTACTATGATTATTTTAGATACCTTGTAGGAACTGTGTCAGTAAGCTCCAAAAAGAGGATTTCTTTTTGTTGTCTGTGTGAGACAAATGGCCCAAGTCAGGGGAAGATAAAGTACAGGAAAATGAGTTATTTGAAACAATAGTATCTCCATTAGAAATAGAAACCAAATGAATTGCATTCTGTATTGTGAGTTCAATTAGGGAGTTTTTCCTCACTGTAATTCTTGGATTTGTGTAATGGGAATCATAAAGAAAGGACTTGACTCAAAAAAGAATTCATTGAGACCGTGTATATATATTTTAAATGTCTGTTTCAAAGTTCTTATAATCAAAAAGAGTAGAAAAATGTTGCAGTAACAATTTGGGTAAAAACAGGGCTTTGTTAACAAAAATACCTACAGGACATTTTTTTTTTTTTTTTTTTTTTCCTTTTTGATGCCAGTATGCTATGAACCTCATGAAGTCTGTGTTTCTTAAGCATATTATAAACTTGATCTGATAGTTTTACTTTGAACTATTCCTATCAGTTTTTTAAATTAGGAGTCTTAGTTTTAAAAGATGATATATATTCTGGTCTGTACAACAGACAGGAACACTTTTTCTTTATTATAGGAAGTCAGGGCATTGTGCTTGCCTGTGTGTTGCTTGCGGACAACCAAATGGACAAATCTTGTTTGACTATTTAAAAAACAAAGCAATGTGAGGTTATAAAAAGTGTGTCTTTATTAGATGTCGGACTGAATATGAAGTTAAAGATCAAGCTGCAAAAGGTGATGAAGCAACTCGAAAACGATTTCATGCATTTGTACTCTTTCTGGGAGAGCTTTATCTTAACCTGGAGGTAAGGAGAAATTTTCCTTTTGTTAAATCCTGACAAGGTCTGAGTACATAAAGTGATTTCAGTAAGGAGTTTGTGGTCACATTTTCCTGTTGCCACATTAAAAATGAAATGGAAGGGAGAAGAGTAATGGGAAAACTAATGTCTTAGTATCTACTCATGGTTGTATCTGGACACTCATGGAATGCTTAAGTTTTCAAAATACCTTTTTGAGTCTGCATGCATTTAGTATGTTGACTTTCAAATGGTGGCCCAAAGCATCTTAACTACAGAACAGGAGAAACGGGAGAGGCTAGGGGTTCTGACTTTTCACCCTAATTCACTCACCAGTTCTTTGCCCTATTATATGTATTAATCTTCCTCATGAAATGTATTTGTACAAGTTCTATAGCTAAATATGTTTGTAAATTGGTGATATGCTTAAGTTTAAACTTGTTAGTAGGCAATATAAGTGCTGAATATTACCATGAAAGGAGTTGCCTGATTTTTTTTTCTTTTTTTTTTTTTTTTAGTCACTAGTAAAACCCAGATAGAGGTTTTATCTTCTTACACCCTAATATGAAGAATTGACATCGTAAACATGACTGAAAAGACACATTAATTCACTATCAGCTGTGCATCTCAGTGCATGTAAAGGGTTTTTATTCAATCCAAAGCTTCATTTACTGTCCTCCCTCCCCTTTTTTTTAAACCACAAGTAGATTTAAATTTTTTGAAAGCTTATGCTTTATTCTTTTTTAGTCTAAATTTTCTATGTGCCAAAATAAGAGTACCAACTAAATTAAAATATGCCTCAAATGATGAGCCATTTTAAGAATGCTATTGAGTATTTCCTATGTGGAGGTAATAATGCCAGGTCTCTGGGAAATATATGTGGCTTCTGCACCTAAAATTCCTCTAGTAGGAGGGATAAGATATGTATGCCAATCTAGTGCAAAATACAGTGTTTAAATACTGTTTAAAAAAATGAAAATACTGTAGGTTCAAAGAGGGTAGTAGCTTAATTGATTAGAGAGTTCTCTGTTAAGCAATAACTTTAAAGTGGGTTTAAGTTATCTTGACTGTGTATTAGTTATGATAAATAAAAATTAAATTTTACCTGTAGTTTAATAGTTTTATTAGAAGCCTAAATTACATATAAAGTAATTCTAATTTTGTCAGGGTACCAGAATGTGTTCCTATGTACTGTTTAATGAAAACACTTATTTTTAGTGTTTAACGCCTTGTTAGACCATTTATGTATCTGTATTATATTTTGGCATAGTTGCTTTTAATTTTCTTTTGTCTCCAAAGATCAAGGGAACAAATGGACAGGTTACAAGAGCAGATATTCTTCAGGTTGGCCTTCGGGAGTTGCTGAATGCCCTCTTTTCCAACCCTGTGGATGACAACTTAATTTGTGCAGTAAAATTACTGAAAGTAGGTTTTACTTTTTTCCCGTCCCCTTAAAATTGAACTCTTTTACCCCTTTAATATGTAATGCAATTGAATTTAATGTGTAATACAAATGAATTCAAGATAATTATTACTTTATTGACATTGAACTTTGACTTCTCTTGAATTTATGTATTAGAGAAACTGTATTTACTGTTTAATATAAGAAGCAAAACTGTGAAGTAAGAAATGGAAGTCCTGCTACCCTCCCCTTCCCTTGTTTGTGTGTATGCTCTTAGAAATGCTATCTTCTTCTGTTGCAGCTTTTTCACCCACGAAACGATAGATCTTCCCATGGCAGCATATGCACAGATCTACCTGTTCCTATAGTGGCTTCTTACATTCCATTGTATGATTGTACACTGTTTATCTACTCTATTAATGAACATTTGGGTTATTTTTAGTTTAGCCTCTGCAGCACTGTTAATCTTTCATCATGTCTTCATATGTGCAGATACTACTATAAGTTAAATCCCTGCACATAGATTTGGTGGGTCAGCAAGCATCTGTACTTTAAATTGCTTTAAAAACAAAACCTCACTGCCATCAAGTTGATTCTGACTCAGAGCGACCGCCATTGGGTTCCTAAGGCTGTAAATCTTTATGAATGCAGACTGTCCCATCTTTCTTCCATGAAGCAGCTGGTGCATTTGAACCAGTGTCTTTTTGGTTAGCAGCCAAACAACTTAACCATTACATCATCAGAGATCCTTTTGTATTGATAAGTGATGCCATATTCCCCTCCCAAAGGCTGAGCCACAGTGTTTATTAGTTTCTATGAATTACATGTTCATAACCTTAACTCTTCTTTCTCTGATGGAGTTGTTTGTTTTCATTCAAAGCTTCTATATCACCCATTGCATATTTCTAGTTTGAGTCTGTTGTTGGACCTTTACCTTTACTTTAGATGCCTTTTACTCTAAGGCTTTTATATTTGTGTGTAGTCTGCCTTTTTAAAATTTTAGGCCGAATGGCTGTGATTTTGCTAAGGATAGAGATTCTCAAACTTTTTACCTTTAATTGAGGACCCAAAGAGCTTTTGTATATGTGGGTTTCATCTATCAATATTTAGTGTGTTTGAAATTAAATTTTAAAAATTAAGTCATTGAAAAAAAATTCATTACATGATTAAAAATAATTGCTTCCCAAAAACAAAAAATGTAGTGAGAAGAGTGGCAGCATTATTTTACATTTTGCAGAGTTCTTTAATCTCTGGCTTAATAGCTCAATTCTTACATCTGATTCTGCACTGTTACACTGTCATTTAGGTTGAATTATATGAAGAAAATCTGGCTTCATACAGATTTTATAGTTGGAAAAGGGAAACCTATTCAGATACCTGGGGATATTCTTTGATACCACATCAAAACTCAAATAGTTTCTTAAAGGTTAATTGCAGTGTAGAATCTGAAAAAATATCAGTGAACTATTCATATTCTGTTACTCTGAAATTCTTTGACCTGTCTTGCCCTTTAAGTATATCTATTACCTATGCATCATCTGCTTTGATCATTTTGGAAAATACTGATCCACCAACTGTTAGATCTTCTAACAATTGACACATTTTTTTATGTAAGATTTTAAAAATCACATCATTAATATCACCAATCTTACCAGAAAATTTATCGAGCTCATAGTGATAGATACAAGTTTTCCAAAACTAACTTTTGCTTGAAGCTCTGAATCTTATAATTGGCAGTGAATACTTTCATTGGATTCACAAAGATTTTAATTTTGGCAAGATGTTACAAGGGAGTGGGGGTGGTATGTTACAAAAAGTGATGATTAAAATTGTCGGAGGGCCAGAACTGGTAGGGACGGCCAGGAGGCATCAACGAAAGAGGGGAGGGACCCTCAACAAGATGGATTGACATGGTGGCTGCAGCGATGAGCTCAGGTCTAGTAGGCATAGTGAGACTGGCACAGGACCGGGCAGTGATTCATTCTGTTGTCCATAAGGTTGCTGTAAGTCAGTGACAACTTGATGGCACATAACAACAATATCTTAGTCATACAACAAATAAAACATGTAGTCATTGACAAGTTAACAAATCCATGATGAAAATTCAGCTATAGTTCATTCTTTTAATTCATTTCTCTTAGATAAGAAAATCGTAAGGAGTATAAAGGTGTCTAAATATTAAGTGGTAGAAAATAATTGGGAAATATTTTTGACTTGGCTAAATTCATCCTGTTCAAAGAATGCTTGAACTGCTACTAATACCTTCTTAAAATTTCTATACTCTTGAATTCCTCACTTTACTAACACCTGCCTTTTTAGTTGACAGGGTCAGTTTTGGAAGATGCCTGGAAGGAAAAAGGAAAGACTGATATGGAAGAAATTATTCAGAGAATTGAAAATGTTGTCCTAGATGCAAATTGCAGCAGGTGGGAAAAGAAAGAATGCAGACAGCTACTAAATCTCAATTTCTTGCTTTTTCTTTGGGGTTGATTTAATCTACTGTACTTTATCAGACTAATTGAATTCTTAGATCTACAGAAATATTTTCCTTCAAGGAATGATATTTTACCTGTGGCTTCTGCTCATGGTCATTTATGTTCAATCATGTTTATAAAGTGCAAAAGTTAAGATTTTTCTTTAGTAAGATGTAACGTCAGTCCATTGATTTCGATTTGTTCAACAGATAAGTACAGTAAGATATAACATGATTGAAGGATAGCCATTCTCTTTAAGGACTTTATAGTCTACTGTTAAATAAAAAAATTTGAAGGCTGTTAAAAAGTAAATTTCTGACATCATAGGAAATTTCAGGAAAATTAAAGCATTGGCTATGCATGTTAGATTTAGGAAATAAAGTCTTAAGAGTCTTTGAAGTATTTTAGACTCTGACATCATTTATGGTGGATACATTTTAACTCCTTTTTGACTTCTGTTTTGCAGAGATGTAAAACAGATGCTCTTGAAGCTTGTAGAACTGCGGTCGAGTAACTGGGGTAGAGTCCATGTAACCTCCACCTACAGAGAAGCAACACCTGAAAATGATCCTAATTATTTTATGGTGGGTATGCCAGTGTTTATGTTTGTTTCTTGAATTCAATTTTAGGAATTTCTAGATGAGTTTTATAAAGCTTTTCTGAGAACTTAATACCTAGTAATTCTTTTCACTGGCTTACAGTCCTATGACAGCCAGCAGACCAGATAGATAATGAGGAGAAAAGACCTGGAATCCAGTGAAAGGGTGGACTAGCGAAAGATCCAGCCAATGGCAAGGGGGCGGAGGGGTGGGGGTGGGAAGACTTAGGCTCTAGTGAGCATAGGGGTGCCAGAAAGGAGTTTTTCCAAAGAATTCATAAGCAAGGACCTGTACCTAAGTTTTAATAAAGTAAATTAAATGAAAGTGATTACCAGGTTAGTAATTCCCTGAAGCTTCTGACATGAAGAAGCGTAAAACAGCCTGAGAGAAATGCTACTGCAACCTGATTGTGGGAATTCTTTTTTTAAAAAAAAAAGAAAATACTGCTAAAAATGAGCTAACACTAAATTACAGTGTTTCACCATGAATGTAACAGACAATGGAAAGCAAGGTTAGGACCATAAGAACTTGAGATAATAAAATAGAAATCTGAAAAGCACAGTTTGTCCCCCCGCCCCCCCAGCAAAATGAAAATGACTGCTAGGAAGTTACTTTTTTTTTTTTTCACTTGTTCTAGAATTCTTAGGTGCAGACAGTTGACTTTAGCCATGCTTCATTAGTTAATGTGCTTTTAAAAATCAATTCTGAAATCATTACATACTTTATCACTTTGATTCATTCTAGAATGAACCCACATTTTATACATCTGATGGTGTTCCTTTCACTGCAGCTGATCCAGGTATGTTGTCTCACACTTTTCTCCCATCTTCTGTAAGGTAGTAAAGAAACAGTAAATCATATCCTTACTAGCACAAAATTGTGACTTTTTGAAGTGTTCACATCAGTCTAAAATGCTATGGTAACGGTTTATCTCCCATAGAATATTCTTTACAATAACCACTTGAACCATTTCAAATGGAAAGTCACACTCAGTAAGTAGTCACTCTACTTTAACAATGAGGGATTAGAAGAATCCCTCAATTAAATGCAAACCATTTTTACATTTCTAATGTTTTATTTATTTATTT